GTTGAATGTAATTATATTTTGTTGAATATAAATATACATGCTGTTGAATTTTGCAACATTTGGCCAACCATAGTTAACCCAACTGAGTCAGATTTTTTAATCTGCTTATACACTCGATATAGCATACACTTAACATATAGATCTTTACCGAGTGACAAAAACACATTTCAAGTTACACACAATTTCCAAAGTAGTCTATTTACTGAAGGCATGCACTACTAACTTATACAAGTAATCTCGTAAATTTAATTTAACAGTGTATTTGCAAACAAATCACTAAATTATTTTTAAGGTATGTAACTTTATAGTAAAATGTTGTTAAAAACGTTTGAACTAAATGACTTTAGTGAACGATACTTGATTCAACATACCTTAATGGAAACCATGTCTTGCAAATTGTATGTGCTCTGTTAGATTCGAAGACGTTTCTTGAATCAGCTGTTACTTCTGCAGAAAACTTCTCTGTGCACAAGGCATCAATTTGATGACTAATTTATACCATTTTCAAAACTGAGTGTAATAGGACACAGGAACTTCAAAAAACCTAACTTAACCACACCCTTGAAAGTTGTTATACCGGAATTAATTTACATTTTACATCGTTTATATAACCCCAGGTCTGAATTTTTTTTTTTTTTTTTTTTTTTTCCACTTATCAAGATTATTTCAAACCGATATCAGTTTCACGTATAGTTTTTCGAACAGCGTGGTAAACGAACGTGGGATCATTTAATATTCGAATTGTCCACTGTTTAATCGCTTGGATATTTTTAGTTTATTAACTTTGAACTTAAAATAGAAATACAAGGAATATGCTGTGTTGAAGTTGTAGGAAGTACTTTTGATGCACCACTTATCGGTGATCAAGAAATCATCCCCGCAAAATGATATGCACACCAATACTCGAGAAGGGATAAAATTAAATTCTACATCATTCGTTAATGTTGCAGGAATGTCCTGTTTCTAGTTTTTATTCTTTTCTTTTAATTCAAAAAATATATTCCTCTCATTTTGGTATTTTGATTCTTCAAGTTATGCTCAGCTTTTTAATAAATGTTTTTTTCAGGATATTTGACCGATTGGACTTGGAACGTCACTCGATGGTTGTCGAACGCAATGACAATGTTTAAGTTAAATTAATGCACCTACATGACTTGAAGATTATCAGATTTCTGGGACAAAAAACCGCTAATATTTTAAAAGGAAGGCATTGATCTTCTTTGTTGGGTCTCTGTTTGTGCAGATCAACTTATTATGCTAACGTCATGGCTGATCGCCGTTTAAATTGGCACAAAAAAATCCTATTTCTAACAACTGGACTTAGACTTTACTAAGCCTATTTTTTGTAATGTATTAGTGTGATTTAATAGTTAGTAGACTAATAGACTGGTTAGTAGATTGGCCTATATTTGGACTATATTTATATCGTTTTCTTTTGCGTGTGTCTATTTGTCTAGTATACACTATCTACTTGAAACTGTTTCACGGTCTGAGGAAAATCGCTTTAGCTATATTACATTAGTAAAATAATTATTGCATGATGATTAGTATAGGTAATCGTATGGGGACGAGTAAAATTAAGGATTAGTCTCACGAGTTTTTTCAAAGTTTGGAAATATGAACGAGTCGCGAATACTTCTTGCTTTGTGTTGATCGGTAATTGTATTTAGCCTTCGTAACAGGTTCCCAGTCAACTAGGGTCAGCAAGTGATTCGCTTGTTAAAAATATTTTTAAAGTCAACTGACAATTTTCGATATTTTGGTGAATATATCCAGGGACGGCGGAACCGGGGGGGAAGGGGGGCTGGGGGAGCCCCCCCCCCCCCCACTTTTTGTGAAATTTTAATACATTTTCACTAAACTCAGCCCCTCCACCTTGCCATACAATGTCACTATGAGCCCCCCCAATCAAAACTGCAAAACTGCTCCGCCGTCCCTGATATCTCACTTGGTTTTTAAAGAAAAACAGAAAAAATCGAGTTTGGGAAGAAAAAAGGTATTTTAAAATACTTTTTTTCTACAAACACAGGTTGTTTAAAACACAGTTTTTAAATACCAATTTTTAGAATAAAAAAATCAAGTGTGTAGTGGGGAATCCCCTAAAGACCTCACTCGCGTGGGAGGACATCCATGCACTCCCAACAAGGTACTTCCTGCTGTAAGAGGGAAAAAATGAATAAACGTTTCTGAATAATTTTGTAAAATTTTTATTGTATATAAATAAATATATATATACAATTTAGTTTATATGGGCCTAATTGGAAATAAGCTCACTGCTTTATTAGTTCACCCAATAAAGATTATTATAACTTATAGCCTGCTAGTTGCTCATCCAATCAGAATGCAACATTGATAATAGACCGCAAGTTGAATTTGACTAATGTATATAAGTACTAAAACTACTCATAATCTATCACGAATCCTGTGCTCTGATTGGGTGAGTTTCGCGAGTGGTCTACAAGTGTACATGTACCCATTTATTTGAACAATCAAACGATTACACCTCTCGCCAAATAGAGTAGACCATTCGGGCTGCGGGTCTAATTGTCAATTAACAAGTGATTTTTAATTGTTTAACAGATTAAGAGAGAATCCTTCGTATTCAAGCGGTGAGCGCCAAAAACTATTTTCTTGAAGAAAGGCTGTTGTACAAGGCTAAAATCTTGAAGAAATTTTAACTTGTTTAGAAGTGGAGATGACCGATGAAAGTGGAATCAAAGTGTTAACCCAAAGCAAAAATTTGAATCGAAAATGAGGTTTAGGCCTTCACTTGCTTATTTCCCATACATTTTCTATCAAAAAGCCCGACAAAGCTACATTCACAAATGCAACAAAAAATCTTTGTACAATTGAAAATACCGCTTCAAACAGGCATTTTATCATAGTACATCAGTTTCTAACTGTTAAAAAAGGCTTTGAGCGCTTGGCCCAAAACAAAAATTGGGATAAAAACTCATACGAAAGTCTTAGTTTTTGGAACTTTTTGCCATTAATGCTCGTTATCGAAAAAAAATTCCTCTTAATTAAATAAAATCACTCTATTCCGTTGAGAATACCAACGGTCTTGAATACAAATATATTATTGTTTAAGTATAGCACGCTGCTAAACTATAACTGCAGGTATAAACATAGAACCTATGCAATTACATTTAATATAAATATATAGATTATATAGTAAATTTTGTATCAATGATGTAACAATTTAATATATTTAATTTGTACCAGGGACTCCCCTAATAGGCCATACCATTCATTCTTATACTCTTCAGTAACTCAACGAGAATATAAGGAAGGATAAGTTGGACGTGCCGTGAATGACAGAGACAGGTAGCACGAATGGTTTAACGGTTGGTTTAACTGCAGGAAAACATAAGATCTACACTGAATTATACATAGTATCTATAGTATCTATAATTTTTGTATCAATGATGACATTCATTCTTATACTGTTCAGTAACTCAACGAGAATAAGTGGATGGTTTAACTCTAAAATATTGCCATTTCCGTTCCGTTTGATGAACCCGCCAACTTCAGGTACTATCGTGGGATGTACGTGGTTGGCTACCGTCAATCAAGCATTGAAATCATTGAATCAAGAGCTCTCTTAGAGGCTTATCAAATAGTTTATTTTTAGTTTAGTTTATTGGGGACTGGCGTAACGAAGATGAAAGAAAGAGGTTCGGGCATGTTCTTTAGCTTTCCAAACGGTTTTAAAAGAAGCAAAGTAACAATTTCGTAAACTGAGGTTTTTACTTGACATATTTTCCATATTCAGAAGTACAAAGAAGCGGTTTGATTTACATTCTTCGTTTGCAATAGACGTCATAGCCGCCATGTTGGAAGAATTTGACAAAAGATTTTTYAATKAATTCTTTTGTTATATCTTCCAACATGGCGGACATCCCTTTTGTTATTGTGCTCTCTTGGGAGTAATTGCAAACCAAGAATAGTTTTAAATTCGTTGAACCTGTAGCTTAAGCCACGATTCTGGTCAGATCTAGCCCGGGCTGAATTATTTCTTCAATTCTGCCTAACTTGATGTTTTCAGTCGTTTAGTTATTAATCTATTGCTGAAAAAGAATATTTTCCAGATCGAACCATGAACGAGAATAAGGACTCAGATTATTTCTAGCCCTTGTTGCAGATAGAGAGTGAAAGCCTGGCTTGATTCGTTTCTAAAGATGGAATTTTTAGGTGGAAACAAGACGCTCTTGGAGCGTGCACTGGGCTTCCCAATGTGCGGGTATGCTGTAGCTTATTTAACACCTAATCTTTGTTATGTACCGCTATTTGGGGGTAGGGGGTACTTTAATTTGGAACATTTTAGGCGTATATTTTTTTCCAGAAGTTCCGAATACTACCGATGCGGTTTTGTAGACGGAGAAAACAACGCTGCGTTACTGACGTCACTAAGTTTGATATACTCTCGATCTTGAATTACACAAGAATCTTGACCTGACTTTCACCTGACTAAGACTCGTCGCGTCTCGAGGACGAAATAAATATATTTATTTCAGGAACTCGTTAAACACTACGCGGTAACAAAGCTGGTAACTTTGGCCGCCAAAAGAAAATCACCAGAATAGTGTTAGAGTATACCCAGAAGTCTTCACGGCACCACCCACTAGTCCTTTGCGGGCATGCATTGATCCAAGTGCAGTAAATGTTCTGGTCAGTAAAGATAGGAAACATAGGTCTACTTTTCGCAGATTGATATTCCTTATGTGACTGATTTCATTAAAAAGATTGCCTTTTTTGTTGAAAATTTAAGTCTAAAAAAAAAAAGTATTAAAGAAAAAAAAAGAAAAATTTTAAGTGGATAACATGTGATTCGAACCCACCAAAATAAAATCAAAAAATCGATTCAACTTTGCCATACCCCCGAGACATCCGCAGAGCTGAGGCGTCGTATGGACTTCGGACCTGACGGCGATTAAATCCTTCTGCCCTTGGGTGTACGAATTACGCAAGAAAATGTTCTAGCCGAAGCATCAGGGGAGAGACCAGCCGGCCCCCAGACCATATCGGCTAATCCCTTGCATCTCTGCCACGCACGGAATCGGTTGAAAATATAATGTTAAAAAGTCTAGTCTATTCGGTGCATTGTTTTCACGGCTATTGTTATGCTGATTBACCTGGAACCGTGGTCCAGTGGGTAAATCGTTGTCGTTCAAGATACTGAGTCAAGCTCGTGTGAGGAGGGTTAGCACTTGGATGGGTGACCTAAACATTATACCTACTCACGCTTTTGCTCCTTTTTTCCCCGTTTTTCTTTTTTGATTTTCAAATAATAGAATATAGAATAGCGAAACTTTATATTTTTGAGTAACCTATTCCTGTCTACCCAAATCCGTCCAATTCAAATCTAGCTAGCAGAGGAGAAATCTTAGGGGGGAAAATAAACTGCCGGCCATTCATTAGCATTTTCATTTAAAAGTATAGACGTTTCATTTAAAAATCCAGCTCAATCCATACGATAACACAAACCAAACTTAAAACTCAAATAAACCTTTTTGTGTTTTCTATAATCGTTTATATCGCTAGCATCGTTACATTAAATTTTTTTTAAAGTAAAAAAAACTTTTAAAACAATGACTTAAAAGAATTAAGGTGAATGCGATCTGCAACGGAGAATGGAAGTCTAAAAATTACATCGACATAACGCGTCCCTCTGAAGCGTGTGAAAGAAAGTGGAGTGTTCAAAGTCTTACAAAGATTACAACACTCAAAAGGACACAAAAGTAAGCTTATGATTTCTATTAGATATTACATCTACAGAACACGTCCCTCTGAAGCGTGTGAAGTAATGCGAGTACCCGGAGTTTTACAAAGAACACAACTGAATATTCAAAAGGACGTTAATGTAAGCTTATGATTTCTATTAGATATTACATCGACATAAGGCGTCCCTCTGAAGCGTGTGAAGGAAAGTGGAGTGACCGGAGTTTTAATAAGATCACAACATTCAAAAGGACGTTAATGTAACCTTATATTTTCTTTTAGATTTTACATCGACATAAGCCGTCCCTCTGAAGTTTGTGAAGTGAAGCGGATTAGCCTGAGTTTTACAGAGATCACAATACTCAAAAGGACGTTAATGTAAAATTATGTTCTTTTAGATTTTACATCGACATAAGGCGTGCTTTTGAAGCTTGTGAAGAAAAGTGGAGTGACCGAAGTTTTATAAGGATCACAGCACTCAAAAGGACGTTAATGTAAGCTTATTTACTAAGATCACAACACTCAAAAGGACGTTAATGTAAGCTTATTTTCTTTTAGATATTCCATCGACATAATGCGTCACTCTGAAGCGTGTGAAGGAAAGTGGAGTGATCGGACTTTTACTAAGATCACAGCACTTAAAAGGACGTTAATGTAAGCTTATTTTCTATTAGATATTACATCGACATAAGGCGTCCCTCTGAAGCGTGTGAAGGAAAGTGGAGTGACCGGAGTTTTACAGAGATCACAACACTCAAAAGGACGTTAATGTAAGCTTATTTTCTTTTAGATTTTACATCGACATAAGACGTGCTTTTGAAGCGTGTGAAGAAAGGCGGAGTGACCGAAGTTTTATAAGGATCACAACACTCAAAAGGACGTTAATGTAACCTTATTTTCTTTTAGATATTTCATCGACTAAAGGCGTCCCTCTGAAGTTTGTGAAGTGAAGCGGATTAGCCTGAGTTTTACAGAGATCACAACACTCAAAAGGACGTTAATGTAACCTTATTTTCTATTAGATATTACATCGACATAAGGCGTGATTTTGAAGCGTGTGAAGGAAATTGGAGTGACCGGAGTTTTTCTAAGATCACAACACTCAAAAGGACGTTAATGTAAGCTTATTTTCTATTAGATATTACATCCACATAAGACGTCCCTCTGAAGCGTGTGAAGRAARGTGGAGTGACCGAAGTTTTATAAGGATCACAACACTCAAATGGAAGTTAATGTCAGCTTATTTTCTATTAGATTTTACATCGACATAAGGCGTCCCTCTGAAGCGTGTGAAGGAAAGTGGTGTGTCCGGAGTTTTACAGAGATCACAACACTCAAAAGGACGTTAATGTAAGCTTATTTTCTTTTAGATTTTACATCGACATAAGGCGTCCCTCTGAAGCGTGTGAAGGAAAGTGGTGTGTCCGGAGTTTTACTAAGATCACAACACTCAGAAGGACGTTAATGTTTGCTAATTTTCTATTAGATATTACATCGACATAAGACGTCCCTCTGAAGCGTGTGAAGGAAAGTGGAGTGTGCGGAGTTTTCCTATACTCCCAAGCTAGAAGGGAGCCTGGGGAGAGTGGATGACAGAGACGAACGCCTGACGGGATTCTAATAATAGGGATGATACTCGTGACTTAGGTCTCATATGACCCTCATACCGGCGAGGAAAACATGGCTTTTGCTAGCGTTTTTCTTTATTTCTACGGAACTGTACTCTTCAGTCTTTTCCTTGGCTCGTCAGCGTTTGAATGCGCCAAGAAAGGAGTCGTAAATAGCCCTCAAAAACTTCAAGTTCATATCGTTGCCCACACACATGACGATGTGGGATGGTTGAAGACAGTGGACGAGTACTACTATGGTGCGAATAATTCCATCCAACATGCTGGGGTACAGTATATCCTAGACTCTGTTATCCCAGCACTAGATGCCGACCCAAATAAAAGGTTCATCTACGTAGAGATAGCATTTTTTAAACGTTGGTGGGATCAACAAGATGTGGCCATGAAAGAGAAAGTCAAGAAGCTGGTGTTGCAGAAACGACTTGAGTTCATTAACGGTGGATGGTGTATGAACGACGAGGCATCCACTCATTATAATGCTATAATTGATCAAATGACTCTGGGATTAAAGTTTATTAAGGATACTTTTGGGGACGATGCGAGACCGAGGATTGCTTGGCATATTGATCCATTCGGTCACTCCAATGAACAAGCATCACTCTTCTCTCAGATGTCGTTTGATGGGTTTTTCTTCGGACGCATAGATTACGCTGACAAAGACTTGAGACTGAAACAACAGAGGATGGAGATGGTCTGGCGTGGGAGTAAGACCGGAAATCTCGGCAAAAACTCCGATATATTCACAGGTGTTTTATACAATGGTTACAACCCTCCCCCAGGTTTCTGTTTTGATCAGTTCTGTACAGACCCGCCAATCATGGATGATCCAAACTTACAGGATATGAACGTGAAGCAGAAAACAGAAGAGTTTATTGGGTATGTCTGTGATCAAGCCAAGCACTATAAGACCAACCACATCATGCTTACAATGGGCTCAGATTTCATGTACGAGAATGCGAATTTATGGTTCAAGAATCTTGACAAGTTGATGAAGTATGTCAATCAGGTAAGTCATTATATTTGCACATTTGCTTGAGTGGTGAACTACCTGTTGTGTTTAGCATGAATAACAAGGGTCATAGACCTTCAATCAATCAATTTATTTTATTCATTTGCAAAAAAAAAGAAAAACATCTTTATTCTTCCACAGTAGACAGCTTGGCAAGCTGATTTTTTCAGACCTGCCATGCTTACAAAAGATATAATTATAATAGGAACAATAAAAAAAAGCCAACTAGACAATTATAATAATATAGTACAATTATATAATACTATGTAATGCTAATAAATCTAATTACATATATTTTTTTCTTCTAATTTTGTATATATTCTAAAGTTATTTAAATTATACTAAAAATTTAATTATCTAAATGAAATTGTAATAATCAGATAATCACAATAATGTGCTATGCTGTAATAATTTGCTACGATCGGTAGACACATCTCATCATTTTACTTGCATACGAGAGCTTTTTTAAAGTTTGTTAAACTATTGAGCTCTTGGATTTTGTTTGGTAATTCATTCCAGGCAACAGCTCCATGATAAGAAAAGTAGCGTTTCATAAAATAAGTTTAGTATTCTTCGTAATGGCGGCTACTATGAATTATACTTATGAACGTTAAAAATGATTATTCTAGGTTAAACTCTTTGAAATGATAGGGCTTGAGTTTTGTTCAAGACAAAAATCCTTGACAACTTATGAAAATTTTAAAATGTCAAAACACACCAAAACAACGCTATAAAGGTCTTTTTTTTGCTATAAAGTTATTTCATAATTTGATACATTTTCCAGCCATAAAATTTGATTTTTATTTTCTTTATTATAGTTTTAAGGATATTCTCATGCAAAGGAAGTAACAATGATAATTCCTTGATTTTTTTTTTTTTTTTTACTTTTTACATACCCAATCTATCATATTCTTGTTCAAAAAATGAAATAAAATATGGGTTGTCACCATATTCGTTACTTTGCTATATTTCGTTAAGTAGTTTAATGAAGCATAACAGATCACAAAAACACATTGAGAAAAATGTTGAAAATAAATTAAGTGCAACCAAAAACCTACCAGAACATGAACAGTGTTATCCTTCACATGTCTGATAAAAACTGGTACAATAGACCTATCCCGAATTCGCTTGACTGACCACGAAACAATGATTTCAAGTTGAGTTTGAACTTGATGAATAAAAGATTCAAGTTCAGTCTCGACTTCAAACCATTGTTTCGTGGTCAGTCAAGCAAATTCGGGATAGGTCTATTGTCAAACTATTCTCATGAGGGGGAAAAATTTAAAGAATAAGAAAGAAAATTTGCAAAGTATTTGTGAATTAATAATAAAATGACACCATCTTGCAATAAATAACTGCCTTTTAAAATGTTTTTATTTATCTCTATTTTTATAGGACAGTAGAGTAAATGTATTTTACTCAACACCAACAACCTACTTAGAAGCTTTACACAACAGTAACCAAACATGGGGCCTAAAGACAGATGATTTCTTTCCTTATGCTGACTGCCCTCACTGTTATTGGACAGGGTACTTCACCAGCAGGCCAGCACTCAAGAGATACGTCCGATACAATAATAACTTACTCCAGGTATAACATATTTTGTTCTTTCTTGCTTTGTCTATTTTTGAAAACTACTACTAGCATTGCGTATAAACAAGCCAGGAAAAAAGTGGTTGCTCAATGGCTGGACATGACGATCAGCCACAGTTAAACCGATCAACATATGACCAGTCAAGAGGACTGTCCTAAATAGTATTGGGCCAGACAAGTGCCAATTTTAACCACGCATTATTAGTTGTCAGGTCATTATTTATAAGTCCTGATAATTAAATCAAGGTCTGTGATCTGGTCTTCTTCATTTCAGACAATTGTTTTTTTAAAATGAAACTTCTTTGTAATCCATTTAGCTTTAGCATTTAGTACTCTTGAAAAAATCTTTATTTATTCATTTTGCATAGTGATACGAGGAGTCGTCACAGAGTCTCCCTAGCCAGAGGCTTACAGTGTATGTGCATATGTGTATGACACTCATTCTCACTCACTGTGGGAATAAAATCTTGTGATTGGCTGAGATTAATATGCTACTGTTTGTACTCTCTCCTGATTGGTTGTAGTTTTTGCTATACTTGTACATCATGATTGGATAAGTAAATGTAAAAGTGGTCCCCTAATTTAGTGTACATGTACCTCCACTGTAAAGTACTTATGGAACCCTTTCCAGCCATATTTTGATATTTCTCAAAAAATTGTTGTTCTAAGGCTTGCAAACAATTTGAAGTGTTCAATGGAGAGGCACAGTCAGGAAAACCCTCATCTGATCTGCTGCGTCGAGCCATGGGTGTGGCCCAGCATCATGATGCAGTCAGCGGCACCTCCAAGCAACATGTTGCTGATGACTATGCTAAAAGACTTGCTATTGGAGCTGCAGATTGTCAGGTGAAGAAAAATTAGTATAAGTAAAAGACCGAAACTTTTTGAAGCTTTGTCTGCTTAGGAAATGTGAAATAATTTATTCAGGTTAGCAGTTTTTTTTGCGAGGATAAGTGGCATTGAATTTGCTTAACTGCTTGCAACTTTTCCTGCAAGAAATACATAAATGAGGAAAAGCTTTTCATACTGTATATCGCAGAATTCCGGCCAGCAGTACCCCTAAAAGTTGCATTTCATTGGTCAAGAAGATCAGGTAGTTGTCAGCAGCATTAATGAGGTTTTCAGACGATGAAACATGTTGCACAACATTTGCGCCCGGCGTGTCATGCATGCTGCACATGACATCAAGACGGAATTGTAGATACTGATTCCATTATTTAACACACGGAGGCTAAGCTTGGTACTCAGTTGTGGGGGAGGGAGGGATTTCTTAATTTTCGAGGAGCTTCAGTCTTTGCGATCATACAAAATTTACGCAAGAGATAAAAATAAATCAATAAAATAAAATTAAGAAAGTAGAGAAGAGAGGTACTCTAAACTATGCATATAATATATTTGATTTTAACTCGTTTATCTGTCTATTATTTCAGTCACTGATGAGCAACGTTCTTGGTAAATACGCAGTGAAAAGTAAAGGCGCCAAACCACCCGTCTTTACCTCGTGCGATCTTTTGAACATCAGCTACTGTCCACTGACAGAAACAAGTAAAAACTTTGTAGTTACTGCTTATAATCCCCTGGGTCGAACTRTTTMCWCTTATCTGCGCATTCCAATGGCTTCCGGTTCTATTGCGGTGTATGGTCCACAAGGACAGCCCGTGAAAAGTCAAGTTTTACCCATCTCAGATGAGACCAAATCAGTGCGCAAACAACAAAACTTTTCCGACAGCAATTCCAAGTACGAGCTCGTGTTCCAGGTGAAGATTCCCGCGCTGGGTTTCTCGACGTACTTCGTGAACCTAACGAAATCTATATCGAAGAATTTCAAAGCACGTAAAACCCAGGTAGAAGAAGTCTTACCCTTGAACGACGAGCCTGTAGTGATCCAAAACGAATTCGTTAAGTTGGAGTTCTCCAAAGAGACAGGTTTACTGTCCAGTATGACGGATTTGGAATCCAAACTAACGTCCACTGTAAACCAGCAGTTCTTGTGGTACAACGCAAGCATAGGGAACAAAATCAGTGACCAACCTTCTGGGGCCTACATATTCAGACCTAATTCCTCTAATACCTTTAATATATCAAGTAAAGCTCAGATTAGTGTAATGATAGGTTCGCTTGTACAAGAAGTGAGACAAGTCTTCTCGCCGTTTGTGAGCCAGGTTGTACGTCTGTATACTGGTCAGCGGTATGCGGAGTTTGAATATACGATCGGCCCCATCCCTATACAAGACAATCTTGGAAAGGAAATCATATCTCGATTTGATACAGATATCAAGTCTGACGGAGTGTTCTATACCGATGCTAATGGCAGAGAGATGCAAGAACGAAAGAGGAACTTTAGACCAATGTGGAAACTGAATGTCACAGAACCAATAGCTGGGAATTACTACCCCGTCAATAGCAGGATGTACATCAAGGATAGCAGCAAGCAGTTTACTGTGCTTGTTGATCGTTCACTCGGTGGTGCTAGTATCAAAGATGGTTCTGTCGAAATCATGCCACATCGGCGTCTTCTTGTGGATGACAAACGAGGTGTCGCTGAACCTCTCAATGAGTCTGGAATCAGTGGAAAAGGATTGATAGTACGTGGAAAGATGTGCGTATTTTTGGCCCCGCCAGCTAAATCAGCTGCAGTACATCGTAAAGTTGGTGAACAAATGCTTTTGGAGCCTGTGCTCAATTTTGCACCCAATCCATCCACTGCAGAAAAATGGATGAGCCAGTACAATACACTGCACAGCGGTCTCAAGTCTGAACTTCCCGCCAATGTTCACTTTTTGACGCTAGAGACCATGAATCAATATGTCCTTATAAGGGTAGAACATCAGTTYGAGGCAGGCGAGGATGCCAAACTCTCGGTCCCAGTCAACATCTCCTTCGATGATCTCTTCACTGATTTTGACGTCGTATCGACTGAAGAACTGAACCTCGCCGCTAACCAGGACATTAAGGACAAGAAGCCTATGAACTGGAACATCAAGACATT